AACCAGCCAGGTCACATGGTGAAGGACTGCCTGCAGCTGAAGAAGACGGGAAGCAGTCGGGAAATGGAGATCGTCAGTAGCTGATGGTCCACCTACTGACTTGACTGCTTCGCCCAAACGCCAACACCCCCACAAGGTTAGAGTGCCGATTTGGGCTATCGACCATTCCCAGCTGAATAAGGGGGATGAACCTGTTGATTGTCCTATACTAGTTGAAGGAAGAGTCGGCGACACCCGCATCAAAATATTTGTTAATGGCGGAGCAAGCCATAGTCTAATGGATATGAAGAAAAACTGCGATTATAGCTGGAGCGCTGCATAACCGAAATCGACGCGATGTTGGTTGACGGCACCCCACTGGCGATTCGGGAACGCGTGCCTCATGTACGAGTCACTTGTGGCGAAAATTTCAGCTTAACGACAAAGATGTTGGCGACAACTCTGGACACGTGCGACATGCTGCTGGGATGGGATTGGCTGCGAGAGTACAACCCAAGCATCGAATGGCGGACGGATGATTGTCGCATCGGTGGAGTGGCGAGTGACATCGACTACCCAAGTGGAGCAGTCAAGACTCGACCACATCCACGGTCAACACGGTGACTATCAAGCGAGCGATGATTCGAGGAGTGCAGCTGTATGTCGTCCGATGGATCGCATCAACGGCTGTCGACAGGTTGAAAGACATCGACAAAATCTGCGCAGCTGTCCCGGATGATTTGGCAATTGTGATTTGGAAGCACACCGACATTTTTCCATACGGCCTACCAGCGGGCTTGCCACCTCAGCGACCGCATGACCACAAAATCGAGCTGGAGACTGGCGCGCAGCCTACTGTTCGAACCCAATGGCGGCTGACTCAGCCCTTGGATGAACTTCACCGCCAACTGGACTATCTTCTCGAGAAAGGTTTCGTTCGCCCCAGCACATCACCGTTTGTAGCTCCGATCCTGTTCACCCCGAAGAAATATGGCGGTCTCTGTATGTGTATCGACTAGCGCGCCTCGAATCGGGTTACCATGAAATCTCGCTACCCCATTCTATGTGCTGACGACCTCATCGACCAGCTTTGCGGGGCCCGGTCTCGAAGATTGACCTTCGCGGAGGTTACCACCAGATTCGCGTGAACAAGCTGAGTGCTACAAGACGGTGTTTCGGACCTGGTACAGGAGTTACGAGTACACGCTCATGCCATTCGGCTTAACAAACGTGCCTTTGACATTCCAGTTCACCATGAACGGGATTTTTCGGCCACTACTGGATAGGTGCGTCATCGTGTACTTCGATGACATCCTCGTCGACAGCACAAGTCGGGAGCAGCATTTTAAGGACTTGGAAGCCGTTTTCTCTCTCCTGCAGTAGAACCGACTCATCACCAAGGGCTCTAAGTGCGAGTTTCTCAAACACGAAATTGAGTTTTGGGGTTACGTAATCTCCATAGACGTCGTTAAGATCGATCCCAAGAAGATTGCTACAATCCAAGACTGGAAGCCGCCGGCTAATTTTCGTGAACTTAAGAGTTTCCTGGGGTTTATCAATTACGTCCGCCGTTCATTACGAACATGGCGGGGGTAAATTCCCCTCTCATAGATCTCCTGAAGAAGGGCATGTTTTTTGAGTGGGGGGGAGAGCAGCAGGCTGCGTTCGAAAAGCTCAAACTTTTCCTGACTACACCTCCGGTTCTTCGGATTGCGGATCCTCACTGTCCGTTCGAGCTCATCACCGACGCTAGCGATCTGGCCGTTGGCGCACTACTGTTATAAGAATTCAACGAAAGCCTCCAACCCATCGCCTACGAGTCACGAAAGCTGAACCAGGCCGAGCGAAATTATCCTGCCCACGACAAGGAGCTACTCGCCATTGTTCATGCTTTGAAAGTCTGGCGCTGCTACCTGACAGGCGCTGACGTGACAGTCTGAATAGACCACAAGTTGCTACAATTCATCCATGCCCAACCAACACTGAATCCCCGACAGATTCGCTGGCTCGACTACCTCGAGTCCAACTTCCACTACGGAGTCACCTACAAACGAGGGGCCAGCAACATCGCCGACGCACTAACCCGCCCCTCGGTCCATACCGCCGCCATCCTAATTACCCAAACTAATCCGCTGCTAACTAGCCTATTCACCCACGAATACAGTACTGGCCCATTCTTCACCACCAACAATTATCCCCAACTGACGGTCAAGCAAGGGGCCTATTATCTAAAATCCGATACCAATCGGATTTGGGTTCCCGCCTACTGTACACTATGGAAATTACTGATCCATGAGGCACATGATTCGAATTTCTCGGGTCACTACGGCATTGACAAAACCGCAAAATTACTGAGCCGTAATTATTACTGGCCTGACCTACCGACAGACGTGCAGCAGTACGCCACCTCCTGCGCCACGTGTCAACGCATGAAGTCTTCAAAGCTCGACCTGCTGGATTGCTGCAACCGCTCGAGTCACCCAGCCTACCCTGACAACAAGTGACGATGGACTTTGTCACCGGCCTGCCAGCTGGTCCAGGCGGCAACGACGCGATCCTCGTCGTCGTTGACCGGTTGACCAAAATGGCCAATTTCGCTGCGTGAAAGACGATAATTACGGCCGAACAGACAACGAAACTGTCCCTAACGAACATCGTGCGGCTACACGGCATCCCCTTGGCAATCATCAGCGATCATGACCCACGGTTCACGTCCAACTTCTGGACAAATACCTGGCAGCAGTATGGCACACGTCTGCATCTGTCCACGGCGTACCACCCGCAATCGGACGGTCAGACCGAGCGCACCAACCAAAATATGGAGCAGCTGATTCGCAAGACATGCACAAACCTGGTCAAATCGGAAGACACCCTTCCTTTGATCGAGTTTGCGTACAACAATGCCTCATCGGCCACGACTACTCAGTCCTCGTTCTTCCTTAATGACGGAATAGATCCGACAACCCCTCTATCGCCACCGATAGAATATCTGGCACCAAGATCTCAGTAGTTTGTCAAAACCTCCGACAGTCTCAGCAAAAAGCAGCCGATGCCATCCTAAAAGCTAACAAGAGGGCTAAGTAGCAAGCTGATCGACGACGCCGAGACTTAACACTTGACCCTGTGCAATTGGTCATGCTCGACACCAGGAATTTGGGAATTCCCATCCCAAATAAATTACGACCAAGATTTTGTGGACCATTCCACATCGTCCGCATGGTGACACCTGTCACCGCCCAGCTGCAGCTGCCGACCGATTGGCGGATTCATAATTCGTTCCACATCAGTCTCCTGTGACCGTTCGTTCCAAGTGCGACATATCTCAACCATCAACACATTAATCCTACGGTCAACCCAGTACCCGAGCCAACGACAGTGTTAAATACTAGGCAGCTAGGAAGCCATGGAATGGCGTGAGGTTTTAGGGCTAGGAAAGTTGACGAGAGAAAAGAGAATGAGAATAGAAGAGAGAGGGATACAAGGAGGGGTGTTGTACCCTCTACAGTAAGTTTCAGTAGCACCCACCAAGCCTACAATTATATAACCCCAATATAATTTAACGCACCCTCTAGGCTTGGTAGTAACAAGCCAACACACACCCACACCCCCTAACCTAGCACCCCCATTCCCAGCAGCAGCCGCGATGACTCCGGAATCGGTCAACACCTACAGTCCGGGAAATGGCAATGGCGGCAGGCATGGCAGTGACGAGAGCGACGGCGGCGGTGTGCGGCGGCAACTGGCCAGCGGCAACAGCGGCGGCAACGGCGGCTTCAACGTCAGAGGCGACTTCAGCGGCCCCCGCCCTCTCGGCGGCATGGCCAATCTCATAACGGCTATGGGAAGGCCCTCACGAGGCAGTCGACGGCTGTGGCAAGGAAGAAGGGACACAGGGGAAGGAGGGGGTGGGGGACGTGGTCCAGAATCACGCCCGTGGCAGGCGAGCGGGCGGCAGGTCTAGCGGCGCCACAGGCGTTGCGCGGCCGATTGCCGCCTGACGACGCTGCCACCGCAGCATTACGACGCCGCCACAGTGCGGCGTCGATGCCACAGCATGACGTCGATGCTGCGACGACAGCACGACGGCGCCGTCACGCCGCCACGACTGGACGTCGACGCCACGGCAGCGCGTCGAGACGGCCGCGGTACAACGACGCCGCCACAGCAGCACGACGCGGCCGCCATGGCAGCGCGAGAGGAAGAGGAGGAGTGCGCGGCGGAAGCGTAGGGAGCAGGCCCAGGAAGGGCGACTTGCTCTGTTACCATGTTAAATACTAGGTAGCTAGGAAGCCATGGAATGGCGTGAGGTTTTAGGGCTAGGAAAGTTGACGAGAGAAAAGAGAATGAGAATAGAAGAGAGAGGGATACAAGGAGGGGTGTTGTACCCTCTACAGTAAGTTTCAGTAGCACCTACTAAGCCTACAATTATATAACTTATATATAATTTAACAGACAGAGCCGTCCAAGATTCTCGCTCATCGCGTACGGGGACATCGAGATACAGCAGCCGACGATTTCTTCGTACGATGGGTCGATCGCACAAGTGACGACGACCTCTGGGTTCCCGCAGCTACGCTCGGCGAACACATAATTGTCCGGGACTATTTACACCGACGACGTGTCGCGAATGTGGGTAGTCTCGTCCCATAAGGGGGGGTGGTGTAAGGACATTCCATTTTCCTTACTGGGCTCGACTACAGCGCGTATGCCCTCGACTCTCGGAAGTCCAGGCTCGACCAACTTCTTCGGTCTTGAACCACTTCATGAACCCAAACCTAGACGCGCAGCGCTTCCGTAGCTTTCGCTAACCGGACCGCCCCAACCTGTTCGCGTGGTCCTCGGCTAGCTCTGTTCGTGCCTATAAATGCGTAGGCCCTCAATTGTATCGACACTCTTGAATCACGACTCATGTATTACACTACCTGTTATTACTCTAATTGATTCATAACATAGACAAAGTGGTATGTTATACAGTATGTGGTTAGTGTATGCTGGTGGAATAAAGGCCTTCATTCATTCTGCGCTGTGTAGATACAGATGCAAGTACCAATAGTGGTGCAAACAAATGGATGCACACAGATGTGAGGTGTGTACACAGATGAATGCCACAACCAACCAACTTTTACCCCTTTTTTGCATCATACATATTCCTTCCTACAGTCTACCAATGAAGCCAAAAGCTCGCTCGAATCATGAGAGGATGGCAGAAATATGCGCCGAGGGTCATCGCAGTGATAGCAAGATAAGGTGCTCGCAGGAATTCCCTGTAGTAATCCACGGGTAGCTTCTGCCTTCCATCGAGAATAGCTGCAAAGGGGACAATGCTGGTGCGATTGCGGACCTGGTTAGGGGGGACGGGGAGGAAGGAGCGAATGCGGAGGGAGAGAGGGAGAAAGGTGATGGGATAAGGTACTGCACATGTCATGCACATGCCTCTATGCACATGCTTCTATGCACATGCTTCTATGCACATGCTTCAATGCACATGCCTCTATGCACATGCCTCTATGCACATGCTTCTATGCACATGCCTCTATGCACATGCCTCTATGCACATGCCTCTATGCACATGCTTCTATGCACATGCCTCTATGCACATGCCTCTATGCACATGCCTCTATGCACATGCCTCTATGTACATGCCTCTATGCTCATGTCCTTAACTTTCAAGGCGCCACTTTACCTCTTCTCACCTCTTCGAATGCCTCGCCCTATTTCTTGGAGAGCCGATCGACGTGACTGTAATGAAATGCATTTCTTGCTCCCCTCACCTTTTCAGACACCTCTCCGTATGTCTTGGACAACAGTTGGACTCCGTGCCACACGCTGAACATGTAATGCAGCAATGAGCCAAGCGACATGATGGCAGGGAGGAGCTATCTTCAGCTCACATCTTCCCAGGCTCAGTCCCCCCAGTCCCTAGCGCATCTCACCTCTTCCCCAGTCGCCCCAGGGGCTAGCTCACCTCTTTGAATGCTTCTCCGTATTTCTTGGCCAGTCGTTGGTCCCCGTGCCACACGCCGACCATGTGGTGCAGCAACAAGCCGAGAGACGTGACGGCCGTGAATGAGGATCCGACCCACAGCATGTGCGCCACACACCAGAGCAGCTGCCCCGTCATCTGCGGGGAGAGAGAGGAGAGGCGAGAGAGAGGAGAGGCGAGAGAGAGGAGTCGTAGGCACACACAGCACAAGGGCTTGTGAGAACACGGGGTGCTGCAATCAGCAGGGAGAGGCGACGGCAGTGAAGGGGGAGCCGACCCACAGCATGTGCGCCACACAACAGAGCAGCTGGCCGGTCATCTGAGGGGAGAGAGATGATAGTTGCCAGCACACAACAAAGGGGTCGTGAGAACACGGGGTGCTGCACTGTGCTGCATGACGGCGAGGGGTTATCCACCGCCACCGCCTCGAGCAGGTTAAAGGTGGAGGGGTAGAGGAAGAAGAAGGAGACGAAGGGTCGGAAGGAAAGAGCCCACACCAACCAGAGCACACCGAACCAGAGCACACCGAACCAGAGCACACCGAGCCAAAGCACACGGCACCATGCCAGATGCAGACAGAATCTCACCTGGGGGTGCCGTGTGATCCTCATGATGCCCGCTCTCCCACATGTGCAGCTTGGGCTTGTCCACCGCCGCCACCTCCAGCAGGTTGAAGGTGGAGGGGTAGAGGAAGAAGAAGGAGACGAAGGAGGGCGAGAGCCCAGACCAGACCAGACCACACCACACAGAACCAGAGCGCACTGCACCGCACCAGATGCAGACAGAATCTCACCTGGGGGTGCCGTGTGATCCTCATGATGCCTGTCTCCCACATGTGCAGCTTGGGCTTGTCCACCGCCGCCACCTCCAGCAGGTTAAAGGTGGAGGGGTAGAGGAAGTAGAAGGAGACGAAGGAGAGCCCCCAGCAGAACTCGTGCATGCCGGGCACGGCACGCAGCTGCCAGAGGGGGAAGCCGTCGTAGCGATGGTTGATGAAAAACACCTGATGGGGGGAGGGCGGGGAAGGGCGTATAGGGATTTAAGAGCTCCACCCTCAATAGCTGCCAGAGGGGGAAGCCGTCGTAGCGATGGTTGATGACAAAAGACCTGATGGGGGGGAGAGGGGGGGGAAGGGGGAGGGGGGAGGTGGGAGGGGAAGGAGGGAGGGGAAGGGAGGAGGGGAAGGGAGGAGGGGAAGGGAGGAGGGGAAGGGAGGGGGAAACGGAAGGCCTAGGAATGAGTCAACTCAAAGTCATACACCTGTACACCTGTACACCTGTCCCACGCGGAACAGTCCAAATTTCAATCCCACCTACCAGATTCTCAGCACGACTCGCGTTGACACGGAACGTGATTGGCTGCAGTCTGAACGATAGCGAAGAGTCAAGTCGTATTTCGACACTTGCGAGAATCCGAGCTGGGATGTCGCGCAGGCAAATTATCTAGTGCATGAGCGATACTTTGTAACCAAGTGAGAGGGTTTACTGCGGGTTTTCCGCTTCAATGTCCCGTTCGCCCGGGTTTGACCGTTTCCTGCTTACAGGCTCGCGCAGCGTGAAAAAACCGTGGGACCCAATAGGAGAAAAAGTGTGTTGGAAACGGAAGGCCTAGGAATCTGGTGGAAAGGTTGATGGAAAAAAGAAGGCCGACGGGAAAGGGAGGGTGGAGGAGAGGTGTCGGGTGTGCAGACTGATGAGGAACAAAGGAATGCACCCGTACCAGACGGCACCCGCACCAGACGGCACCCGCACCAGACGGCACCCACACCAGGCTGCACCCTCACCAGGCGGCACCCACACCAGACTGCAGAGGCGTGCGTACCACGGCAGAGACGGCGAGCGGCAGCGAGATTCCCGCGAACAGCACGCGATAAGCGCGCTCGCCGATCACGCGCTCCGCTGCCGGCCGCAGCGCCGCGCCGCCGCTGTGCACGATCCCGAACACGAGCAGCATCAGCAGCATCTGGATCTCGCGGCTCGACGAGAGCGACTCGAACAGGGAGATGTACGCGCCGCCGAATCCGGTGTCGGGATCGATCCAGACAACGTACAGCGCCGCCATTACGACGGTCAATACGCCAAAAAACGCTGCCCAGGAGGAGGTTTTCTGGTCGGCTATTTCGAAGACGGCAGCGTCCTCGCCGACCAGCTCCAGCGTGCCGGCCTGCAGTGAAGTTGCCGGTTGCGAAATTTGTGACGGCTGAAGGGATGCCGTTTGTGGGGTGGCCGGTGAGGACGGCTGTGCTGGCGGTGCATCGGAGCCGTCGGATTGCGCTTTTGCGATCAATGGCTGGGATCGATCGAACGGACAAGATTGCCCGACAGCGGGTACGCGGCTAGATAAGGTGGACAATGCTGAGGGGCAGTTTGCGGTAAGAGTGGGTGACGTGGCGAAGCAGGATTGGCGCTGATGGAGAGGAAATCTTCGGCGTTGTGCGATTGGCTGCGATAAGCACATAGGAGGTGCGGCATATCTCCGAGTAGCCGACTGACACATCACTGGCCGCTGCGCCTTGGGTCCTACGGCAGCCATGGCTGGACAAAGCAACGCCGCCGCCATATTTGCTAACAACTAGTATCCGCCGACCCTTCTCTAAGAATCTCTCAGAAAAAATGTCTGACCAGCCAGTTATGGCAGCCAAGGAGTGATGGCTGTGGGGTGGAGTTGTTGTTGTGAAAGGGAAAGCTCACTTCGCTTTTCGCTTTCTGCTGTTCGCTTTTCGTTCACGAAGTTCGCTCGCGGGAAAACCGTGTCGTCGAAACCTTGGGATGATGCCGAACCTCGTGGTTGGTGTGAAGACCTGCTGTACCACGTGCTGACGAACAAGCGAACATAAGACCCTAGCGTGGTAACCGGACCGTGAGATGTGTGTCCGAATGTGTGCGACGTGGCACGACAACATCCACGACAGCTGGCCTTCGCGAGCCCTGGAAAGTTTCGTCGCGAATGGATAAGGTTCTCACGCCCCTGACGATAATGATGCTGTAGAGAGCCACGACTGTACGTAGTTACCATAACTCTGTCGCCCGCCAACCTACCTCCCCAGGCTGGGTCTTCGGGCTCAGGGTGATTCCCGCTCGTTTCTAGAACAGTCCTTCGCCAACCGCACTCGCTGAAAGATTCGTTTTCCCGCCAACCCTCATTTCGTGTCAGGCAGCAGCAGCCTGGCGAATCCCAAGGAAACGAAAAAGTCTTTCAGTCCCCCACAATGGCATCAAGTGCAAGAAAAATGACGTCACCCGACGTCCTAGCGCGGTACAGTGCGTTTTCTCACGTTAGAGAAGCGTCCTGTGCGTTCGGAGGCCATACCCGTACATCTCCTTGATACACCCCCTTACAAGCACAGCTACAGCGCGTACAGAACTACGTGCACTGACAGCTCATTCTTATCTTCCTTGAACTTCTGAATCTGGAAGGCAAGGTTAGGTTTAGCTGCCTCGCCTTCTGAATCTAGATTCTAGAGGGACGTATGTTCAGCTGCTTCGCATTCTGAATCTAGGGTTCCTCGCTCCAGAACCTGGTTCTTCTCACGCCTCGCCTTGGCACTTCCGGTACAGTATCGGTTGCCTCCTCGCTTGCCGATGGTGATTCTAGTCTCGTCTTAGTCGCCAACGCAGAGCCGTGCTCTCCCTTTTGAGGCGCCTCAAAAGCAGAGCCGTGCTCTCCCTTTTGCGCTTCGCGGACGGGAATTCGTAGGCTCCTTTTTAATGATCGAATATTGCCTGTAGCATTATTGTGCGATGGCCAAGAAAGAGAAGGACGCGTGCCGTAGGTGATTTTCTAGTCCACTCTAATTCCAGCTACGAAGGGGGAAGTGGACGTGCGTCGTTGGTGATATTTTGGCGCGGGCTTTAATTGACCCGAGTTCCAGCCATGACGAAGGAAGAGAAGTACGTGCGTCTTAGGTGACCTTTTCATTCGAACTCAAGTTTCAAGATTCAAGAATCTCTAGTGGACTTGAATGTCAGCCATGAGGGAGGAGGAGGAGGACGTGTGCAGGATTTGCCGCGCGCCGGCCGCGGACGGGGATCCGCTGTACCACCCGTGTGCTTGTAGCGGGAGCATCAAGTTCGTCCACCAGGGCTGCCTGCTGCAATGGCTGCACCACAGCAACAAGACGCACTGCGAGGTCAGTTGCTCGGAATCCCTACGTTGAATTACGAGGATTTCCCTCGCGCCGGTCGCGGACGGGGATCCGCTGTACCAAAGAGAAGAGAAGTTCCTTTTGAGACGACCCGAGAGCCAGTGATTGTTTTCGGATTGCGTTTCTTGCGAGCTTTCGTCGACTTTAGACCCATCCTCTTTTCTAATCAACCGTTGTCTCCTGTTATTCTGTCGTCGTCCTTCCCCGTATCCGTCGCACTCTTTTTTAAACCGGTTTTGCGTTTCTCCATTAAACGTTTTAGGTATTCGCGGTTAAGCGGTGACATTGCGGTGGTAAAGAAGCGACGGTCTTGCAAGTACTTTTAGGGGTATCAGTCGACGAGTATACGTCTTTATCGTTTTGACAGAGTCCGTTAACGGCAGCCGAAACTTTGTCGTATCAGCCGCAACTCGGTAGTAGCAGCCGCAACTCGGTAGTAGCAACCGCAACTCGGTAGTAGCAGCCGCAACTCGGTAGTAGCAGCCGCAACTCGGTAGTAGCAGCCGCAACTCGGTAGTAGCAGCCGCAACTCGGGAGTAGCAGCCGCAGGTATGCTGATGAATAACGATTGGAGTCGGCTGCATCTGAAGGCCGCTGAGGGTCGTGTGATTGTATCGTGACACGTGGCAAGCCCGCCTATCCCGTACACGATGCAAGCTCCCATCTTTTGTTTTCTCGTACTCGCGTGGAAGTTCCATTTTCCCGCAATCTATCCGTTTCTCCATCCGTCCTCCTTTCCTGCCTTTTTCCGCCCCTCTCCCCTGTCTCTGCTCCCCCCCTTTCCTGCGCTCCCCTTTCCTGCGCTCCCCTTTCCTGCGCTCCCCTTTCCTGCGCTCCCATTCCCTGCGCTCTCCGCCCCCAGCGGGGTGTGCAAGCGTGCGTTCATCTTCTCCCCGAACTACGCGCCCAACGCGCCCTCTCGCGTTCCGCTCAACGAATTCGTCGCGGGCGCTGCGCTCATGGGTGATGTGTCCCTCTCTCTATCCTTCATCTCTGCTTCCCCCCTTCCCCCCGCTCCCCCCCCATCCAGGTGTGCAAGCGCGCGTTCATCTTTTCCTCCATCTCCCGCCTCCATATGAACGAGTTTCTGGCGGGCGCGGCGCTGATGGCGGGGAAAGCCGTCTTCTTCGTCCTCGGGGAAGCCCCCATATATTTCCCCCCTCTCTGTGTGCTCCTCATACTGCTCTTGCCGTCCCTGCCCTCTGCGATCCCTGCTCTCCCCCTTCCCTGCACTTCCCCTCCCCCCTCCGCAGGTGTGCAAGCGCGCGTTCATCTTTTCCCCCATCTACGCGCCCAACGCGCCGTCCCGCCTCCCCCCGAACGAGTTCCTCGCGGGGGCCGCGCTGATGGCGGGGAAAGCCGTCTTCTTCGTGCTGCGCGCGGCCCTGATCGCGTTCGTCTGGCTCCTGCTCGTCCCTTTCCTCACCAGCTCTGTCTGGCACTTGTGTTTTCTGCGCGATTGGACCAGAATCGGGGGTGTGTTCAGGGAGAGGATGACTGGTGCGGCGCTCTTTCAGGACTGCGTGCTGGGGAGTGTGCTCTCTGCGGCGGTGATTCTGTTCTTCCTGAGTTTGTCCTCGTTAAGAGAGTACCTCGCGCAGTTGTTAGAGCAGCAGATTGAGGGGGAGGAGGGGTTTGAAGTGGGTGTGGGGGGTGGGGAGGAGGAGGGGGAGCAGGGAGCGCTTATGGCACACGGGCAGCAGGTTCAGCAGGGGCAACAGGGGCAACTGCAGGGGCAGCAGGGGCAACAGGGGCAGCAAGGGCTGCAGCAGAGGCGGCATCATCACCATCATCACCATCACCATCACCACCACCACGAGCACCAGCATCAGCACCACCACCATCACCAGCACCACCAGCACCAGCGCCACCAGCTGCACCGTCACCAGCACCAGCCGCCCCCCCCTCCACCACCCCCTTTACAACAGCAAGCACAGGGAGAGCCACGGATAAGACAAAATGGGGAAGAGGGAAGGGGGGGAAGGGGGGCTCTAGGTCCGCCGCCTCCGCCTCCTCCGCGCCCGTTTCCCCCTCCGCCTCCCCCTGTGGTTCCACCCCAGGGGACTCCCCCCCTCCCCGCTTCCTCTGGGCGACCATTCTCGTTCAGCGGCCATGCAGCTGGCCCTGCGACTGGGGCTGCGACTGGGCATGCGACAGAGCCTGAAATAGAGCCTGCGACTGGCCCTGCGACTGACGGCCAGCCGTTTGTGTTTGGCGCCAATCCGTCCGCCCAGGAGACCCCTCGCTGGCCGAAATTCTCCCTACGGGAAGCAGGGGAGGCGTGGCAAGCGGCACCAGGGCAGTTTGGCAAGGTCAAAGGCCGTGGAAGTGGGAGCGGAGAGGGGAGCTCCGGAGTGGAAGGGAGAGGAGGGAGAGAAGGCTCGGAGGGAGGAGGGATAGGGAGGGAAGGGGCGGAGAGGGACGAGGCTGGGAAGGAAGGGGCAGAGGAAGGAAGTGCGCCTGTGCTGGATAATGGTTCTGGAGATGGTGAGGGCGAGGCGGATAATGGTGCAAGCAGCGGAGGGGCTTGGAGGTGGTCGGGGATGAGGGATGCTGTGGAAGAGGGGAGCACTGCGCGGAAGGGGGGTGGCAGCGGAGGCGGGGAGAGAGGGGGTGGGAGTAGTAAGCTAGGTGGGGGGAGTGCGGGTGAGGGCGGGCGAGTGGGTGGGGGAGAGGGGGGGGGGGAAGATGCGAGAGAGGGCGGACAAGTAGGGAGATTGAGAGTTGGGGAGGAATCAGTGGGGCGGGGTATTGACGGTAGAGATGGCACTGGCAAGGGTAAAGGAGTGGAGAGGGATGGGGATGGGTCGGGAGGTGGTGTGCGGGAGGAGGGGGCGGATGGGGAGGGGAGGAGGGCGCAGGGGAGTGCGTGGGGGAATGAGAGGTATGGAGATGGGGAGCTTAGTGAAGGGAGTGAGGAAGAGGAGGAGGAGGAGGAGGAGGAGGAGGAGGAGGAGGAGGAGGAGGGGGAGGGGGAGGAGGAGGAGGGGGAGGGGGAGGAGGAGGAGGAGGAGGAGGAGGAGGAGGGAAGTGAGGATTATCACGATGAGGAGGAGGAGGAGGAGTATGAGGAAGAGGAGGAGGAGGAAGAAGAGGAAGAGGAAGAGGAGGAGGAAGAGGAAGAAGAGGAGGAAGAAGAGGAGGAGGAAGAGGAGGATTTCGAGGAGGCGGAAGGGGGGATGGTGGAGGGGGAATTGGACGAGGATGGCGAGCCGATGGACGATTTGGGGTTTGAGGAGCTCATAGGGCTGCAGGGACCTCTGTGGCGGCTGTTTGAGAACGCCACCACGGTGAGTTTCTTACCACCCCGGCGTCTTAACTTAACATCGCGAGCCCATGGACGATTTGTGTTTGGGAAGCTCATGGGGCTGCAGGGACCTCTCTGGAGACTGTTTGAGCACGTGACCTCGGTGAGTTCTGCCCTGGCCGAGGGCTTGTCTTTGTGTGACCTGTGTGATTTGGAGTTCCCTTGTGTGCTGTGTGTCGCCTCACAAGGAGGACGGCGAGCCGATGGACGATTTAGGTTTGAGGAGCTCATAGGGCTGCAGGGACCTCTCTGGAGACTGTTTGAAAACGAGGAAAACAAGAGGCAACCCCGGAGTGTTCCCCTTGAGGAGTTCATAGGGCTGCAGGGGCCACTCTGGCGACTGTTTAAAAACGCCACCACGGTGCGTGTCCATACCGTACTGGCCTCAACAGTGCCATCTCTTCCTACCTAAGTTGGCATAAACGCGTTTCCGCGTTCTTGCGTTTCGTTCTGAACGCTTGCGTTCAGGACGCAAAACGCAGGATTCTAGGCTTCAGATACGCTCGGAAAACGCATGCCCGGGCAGGCTTTAAATTTTGGCCGGGCAGGGGAAAGAGGGGAGAAGGGGGGGAGGTGGGGAATGGCGGAGGGGGGGACTACTGGCTCGGCTTCAGCGCGACTCGACGCTATGGTGCTCTAAACGTGTCTAGCGTATGAAACGCTAAGCGGAAATTGCGTGAGCTGGCGCGCGCTGTTTTAGGTCCTGTCGCAAAACGGGAAGGGAGGTGAGGGGGGGAGAGTGGAGCTTTTGTGAGGAAAGGTTGGATGTTGTAGACGGGGGGGGGTTAAGTGCGGTGAAAGGGAGGGAGCTGGTTGGGTTTCGCGACATGGCGAATGTCTGGTTGCAGTCGCCATGTAGTAATTTCGCTATTTTCCTGCAATTTTTTCACCAGGCTGAAGCCACGGGGGTCAAAATTCGACCCCGCAGAAAACGTGACTCCCAGAGTCGCGTTTCCAGAAACCATAGCCCAGCCGCAAAGATTTCGATTTTCCGTTCCGGGCAGCCCGATTTTGTTTCGAGGTGCGTTCGAGCGTTTTGACTCGTTTTTGCGCTTTGCGTTTAAACGATTGCGTTTAAATGCAAAACGCGAACTAGCAAAAGCGTTTTTGTCAACATAGCTTCCTACTCCTTCCTCTCATGGTTTCCATCCCCCCCTCTTCCCCTCCTTTTCTCCCTCTCCACTCTTCTCGTTCTCTTCCCTCTTCCACTCCCCTCCAGGTCCTGTGCAGCACCTTCTTTGTGCTCGTGCTCGCCTTCCTGCCCTTTAGAATGTACACGCATGCTTTCTTACCCCCCCCAGGTCCTCTGCAGCAACTTCTTTGTGCTCGTGCTCGCCTCCTTCCTTCCCTTAGCGACGGCTGCTAATCCCCCCTCCTTCTTTCTCCCCCATCCCCATTTCCCACTGTCTCCTCCAGGTCCTCTGCAGCAACTTCTTTGTGCTCGTGCTCGCCTTCCTGCCCTTTAGAACGTACACGCATGCTCTCTTACCCCCTTTCCCCCCTACGTCATTACCCCCCCCAGGTCCTCTGCAGCAACTTCTTTGTGCTCGTGCTCGCCTTCTTCCTTCCCTTGGAAACGGCTGCTAATCCCCCCTCCCTCTCTCTCCCCCATCCCCATTTCCCACTGTCTCCTCCAGGTCCTCTGCAGCAACTCCGTCGTGCTCGTGTCCTTCCCTTCGAGGCGTCTCACTAACCCCCTCTTACCCCCTTCGCCCGTCCACCTCCCCCCTGACCCATTTCCCCCCCCCAGGTCCTCTGCAGCAACTTCTTTGTGCTCGTGCTCGCCTTCTTCCTCCCTTTCAACATCGGCCGCCTGTACATCGCGCTCTTCTCCTTCCTCTTCCTCTCACCCGCCTCCACCGTCTCCCTCGTGCCTCTCTACTCCCTCCTCCTCGGCCCGCCCTCTCTCCCCCTCCCCACCCCCCAACCCCTCCCCTCCCCTTCCTGCATCCCGCCCATCTACCCCACCTATCTCAACGCCTCAAACCTTTTCACCCACTTGGCCTTCTGCCCGCTGTCCTCTCGGCCTCTGTCTTCTGGTGAAAGGAATCTCCCCTTCTGTGCGTATGAGCACAAGGGTGAGCATGAGTATTCCTGGGAGTCGTATCTCCCTCCGCCTTTCGCACGAGCGTCTAAGTCCTTTCTGCAGCTGCACAGCCGGAGGGGGCAGAGGTTAGAGGACGAGCAGTGGAACAAGAGTAGAGAGGCAGTGGGTGGGTTGGTGGGGAGTGCAGGGGCGATTGCAGAGCGTAGGGCGGAAAGTGCGGCTGGAGGGAAGCACGGTGTGGTGCACAGTGGGGACTGCAGTAGCTCTGCTCGTGATAGCCCTCATGCCAGCAGCAATGATAGCACCAGCAGCAGGACCAACAGCAACGACAGCAGCAGCAGCAGCAGGAGCAGCAGCAACGACACCAGCAGCAGCAGCAGCAGCAAGGTTTCTTGGCTCAAATCCACCCCTCCCGCCACCACCACCGCTCCCACAACCCCCACTACCGACCTCCCCACCACCACCACCCTCCTCTCGCACCTCCTCCACCTCTCCTCCGCCCACCTCCTCTCCCTCTCCCACCAACTCGCCCTAGCAGCCGCGCTCTACTCCCAGTGGTGCTGCACCCTTCTAGGCCTCCGCTGGGCGGACTCAGGCCACGGGTTGGCTGCAGGGAACCTGGTGTCTCTACTGGTGGGGTACGAGGTGGTGGGGTTCTGCTGCGCGCTCTATGTGCTCGCGGCCATCCAGCTGAGGAGAGCCCGAGGGCTGCCGCTGGTGGGGGCTCTGCCCGCCACGCTGCTGGCGCTGCTGCAGGTGGCGCCGGCTATACAAGAGCATCTAGTGGGTGCTGTGAGGTGAGTCTGTAGGGCTTGCTGCTACGGGGTCTGCTGTTATGGGGGGGAGCTGGTGCTGCTGCAGGTGCCCCCTGCAATACAAGAGCATCTAGTGACTGCCGTCAGGTGAGTCTGGTCTCTGTGGCTTTTGAGTCGACTCAAAAGACTTTAGAGTCGACTCAAAAAGCAATGCAAGAGCATCTGGTGGCTGCCGTCAGGCGAGTCTGGTCTCTGTGCTACGACCTGCTAGGTCTCTTCTAGGCCTCAGCTGGACTATCCGGTGCTGCAAGGTTACTGTTGAGTCGACTCTAAAGACACCTGCTAGGTCTATACTAGGTTGCAGCTGGACTATCCGGTGCTGCGAGGTTGGCTATTGGGGTATGAGATGAGCTTGTGCTGGTCTGCTGCACCTTCCCTCCTGGGGCTCTGCTGGGCCGCTTTCGGCCACAGGCTGGCAGCAGGCAAGCTGCTGTCGCTGCTGATGCTTCCTGTTCATCCCCCCTGTCCCCCCTCACTCCCCCCTTACCTCCCCATCCCCCCCTACCTCCCCCTCCCCCCCTAACCTCCCCCTGCCCCCCTCCTCCCCGCCTCCCCATCCCCTTCCCCCACCATCTCAGGCACGGTCAAGTGGTTCTCAAGGTCACGAGTCTCCTCTCAGTGGAGCTGGGCGCCTTCCCGTTCCTTTGCGGCTGGTCGATCCACTTCTGCTCGCTCTCTCTCTTTGGCGCCTCTCCCTCCGACCACCCACTTTATGTGTGCCCCCCCCCCCCACGCCCCCCCACCCTCCCCCTGTAACGTCCACTCCTGTTGAGGCACGGACTGGTCGTTCTAAAGGTCACCAGTCTGCTATCGGTCGAACTCGGCGCCTTCCCGTTCCTCTGCGGCTGGTGGATCGACTTCTGCTCGCTCGCCCTCTTCGGCGCCTCTCCCTCCGACCACCCACTTTGTGCTACCCCCCCTCCCCCCCACCCCTCCCCCTGTAACGTCCACTCCTGTGCAGGCACGGTCTAGTGGTTCTAAAGGTCACTAGTCTGCTATCGGTCGAACTCGGCGCCTTCCCGTTCCTCTGCGGCTGGTGGATCGACTTCTGCTCCCTCGCTCTCTTTGGCGCCTCGCCCTCTGACCGCCTCACCTTGCTGCTGGCGCACCCGCTGCTCTGCTGCTTCCTGCACTGGTTCGTGGGGATCCTCTACATGTTACAAGTCAGCCTGCTGGTTACCATCCTCAGAGAGGTATGTTACAAGTCAGCCTGCTGGTTACCATACTCAGAGAGGTATGTTACAAGTCAGCCTGCTGGTTACCATCCTCAGAGAGGTACGCTTGCTGGCTCTGTTTGGTTGGTGCTTCCCTCTCTGGCCGCCTTGCGCCGCCCTGATTCTCCAGATTCTCCGGCCACGCGTCCTGCCTTTCCTCACGGACTTCACGGACCCCAACTTCAACCCGTTCCGTGATTTGGTGGGGGAACCCATCCGCAAGTACACCCTCGTCTTATGCACCCCTCTTCCCCATCCCTGCCGCAGTGCCGCCTGTTAGAATATTCTCCCTTCATTCTATTAGCCTACATCGTTTCATTGTCTTAGGTACTTACGAGCACCCCACTAGGGTGTATACACCCAAGTTGGGGGTTGGGTTCCCAAATTGGTTGGGCTCCCAATTATTGGAACCCCCAATAATCCCAACCAAGATTATTGGACCCACCAATAATCTTGGCTAGGATTATTGGACCCCCAATAAGTTGGCCAACTCAACTTATTGGGGCCCCCAATAATCATGGTCACCTCCCAACCAAACCCCCCCTCCTACTCTCACCTATGTATACCCACTCTTTTCTTAATACTATCATCACTTCAGTTTCTCACACCGCCCTCCCCTGACCCCTCTTACTGCAGATCCTGCGGCCACGAGTGCTCTCCTTTCTTCGTGACCCCACGGACCCCAACTTCAACCCCATTTCGAGACCTTGTGGAGGACCCCACTGCACTCAACCCCCCTCCCCCTCCCCCTCCCCCTCTCCCTCTCCCTCTCCCTCTCCCTCTCCCTCTCCCTCTCCCTCTCCCTCTCTCCCTCCCCCTCCCCCTCCCCCTCTCCCTCCCCCTCCTCCTCCCCCTCCCCCTCCCCCTCTCCCTCACCCTCACCCTCTCCCTCTCCTTCCCCCTCCCTCTCCCGCTCCCGCTCTCCCTCCCCCTCCCCCTCCCCCTCCCCTCTCCCTCACCCTCACCCTCACCCTTTTCCTCTCCCTCACCCTCTCCCTCCCCCTCTCCCTCTGCTTCTCCCTCTCCCTCTACCTCTCCCTCTCCCTCTCCCTCCCCCTCTCCCCCTCCCCCTCCCTCTCCCTCCCCCTCTCCCCCTCCCTCTCCCTCTCCCTCTCCCTCTCCCCCTCCCCCTCCCTCCCCCTCTCCCTCTCCCCCTCCCCCTCCCTCTCCCTCTCCCCCTCCCCCTCCCCCTCCCCCTCTCCCTCCCCCTCCTCCTCCCCCTCCCCCTCCCCCTCTCCCTCACCCTCACCCTCTCCCTCTCCTTCCCCCTCCCTCTCCCGCTCCCGCTCTCCCTCCCCCTCCCCCTCCCCCTCCCCCTCCCCCTCTCCCTCACCCTCACCCTCACCCTCCCCCTCTCCCTCACCCTCTCCCTCCCCCTCTCCCTCTGCCTCTCCCTCCCCCTCTCCCTCTACCTCTCCCTCTCCCTCTACCTCTCCCCCTCCCCCTCCCTCCCCCTCTCCCTCTCCCCCTCCCTCCCCCTCTCCCTCTCCCTTTCCCCCACCCCCTCCTCCTGCAGATTCTGCGGCCGGGCGTCCTCTCCTTCCTCCGCGATTCCACTGATCCAAACTTCAACCCCTTCAGAAACCTTGTGTAGGACCCCATCCCCAAGCACGCACTCAACTGTACCCCTGTCCCCCATCCCCCATCCTGCCTCCCCGTGCCAGATTCTCCGGCCAGGGGTCCTGTCGTTCCTCAGGGATCCCACGGACCCCAACTTCAACCCCTTCAGAGACCTGGTGGAGGACCCCATCCCCAAGCACGCCCGCCGCATCGTGCTCTCGCTGTTTGCATACGGGGCGCTGGTCGTGCTGCTGCTCTTCCTACCCATTAGAGCAGCTATTGCCATCGCCCCGAGCATGTTCCCCTTCAACTACAGGTCAGTGGAGGCTTCTCTTTACTCGCTCTCTTTCTCACTCTCTCTCTTTGGTCGTGCTGCTGCTCTTCCTGCCCGTTAGAGCGGCCATCGCCATTGCCATCGCCATAGCGCCTACCATGGTCCCCTTCAACTACAGGTGGGCTGCGACGTGCAGGCACACAACCGTTAGGTGAGTGACCCCATCCCCAAGCACGCGCGCCGCATCGTGCACCATCGCCCTCTTTCTCCCTCTCTCTCTTTAGTCGTGCTGCTGCTGTTTCTTCCAGTCAGAGCAGCCATCGGCATCAACCCCGCCATGTTCCCCTTCAACTACAGGTGAGTGGGGGCTTCTCTATATCTCTTGCTCTCTCTCTCTCTTTCCCACGCCACCATCCCCCTCGACGTGCTGCTCTTCCACGTGTGCATCCCCTCTGCCATCCCATGGGTCCCCTTCACCTAACCCTGCTTTTGATACTCACAAATAACCCCGTCCCTTCCCCTGTCCCCCCCCCAGGTTCTCAGACCCCCTAATGGAAATACCTCTGGACATGCTGCTCTTCCACGTGTGCATCCCCTTTGCCATCGACCGCCTGCGCCCCCGTGCCACCATCAAGGCTGCGCTCGCCCTCTGGTTCCGTGCTGCAGCCCACCTCCTGCACCTGCAGCACTACCTGCTCCCCCCTCCTGCTACTCCCGGTGCTGCTGACGGTGCTGCTGCTGCTGGTGCCCCCCCTGCCCCTGCTGGTGCTGCTGCTGCTGCTGGTGTTGCCGGTGCTGGTGCTGCTGTTGGTGGTGGTGGTGCTGCTGCTGCAGCAGCTGCTGCTCCCCCTCCTCCACCACCGCCTGTAGCCTTTCGCCCTCCTCCCCCTCCTGTCGCGTTCCACCCTGCCGCTCCTCCCCCTCCCCCTCCCCTTGCCGTCCAACCCCCTCACTCCTCGTTAGCGCCTGAGTCCTCCATTGTTGCACCACCTTCCCACGCTGAAACTCCCGCGGATAGCCGTTTGGTCAACAGAATTGCTGCTGCCGAAAGGGCAGCAGCAGCAGCCCTGGCGAGAGCAGCAGCAGTGCCATCGCGAGGGACGATCGCATTTCGAGTAGAGGGAGACTCGGTAGAGGGAGGAGCAAGAGTAGCAGCAGCAGCAGCAGCAACAGCAGGGGCAGCAGGGGCAGCAGCTGGGATAAGGTTTGGTTCGTATAGCAGGGAAGTGGTCGAAGAGGAGGAGGAGGAGGGCAAGGAGGAGGAGGTGGAGGTGGAGGTGGAGGAGAGAGGGGAGATGGGAAGATTGAGGGAACGGGGAAAGGCGGTTGAGGTAGAGAGGGAGGAGGAGAGGGGGACGGCAGAGGGAGAAAGGGAACTGGAGGAGGTCGGGGAAAAGGAAGGGGTTAATGCAACCAATAACAGCCACAAATACAGTGGCGGGAGCAGCAGCAATGGCAGCAGCAGCAGCAGTGGGGTTGGCGTCGTCGACAGTAGCAGCAGCGATGGGGGTGGAGGGGCGGGTGGGGGAGGGAGCAAGAAGGGGGACGAGCATTTCCGGGTGCGGATCGTGGCGCTGCTGGTGGTGGCATGGGCGTCCCTGGCAGCATTCAACACCGCCGTGGTGCTGCTGCCCGCGGCCGTGGGGCGAGGGGTTTTCTGCCTCTCTGCCTCCCTCCTCCCTAGTGCGGCTGACGACTCTCCCTGCAATGGTGAGATGCCTGTTCCATATGTGCAATGGTAAGATGCTTGTTCCATATGTGCAATGGTGAGATGCCTGTTCCATATGTGCAATGGTAAGATGCCTGTTCCATATGTGCAATGGTAAGTTGCCTGTTCCATATGTGCAATGGTAAGATGCCTGTTCCATATGTGCAATGGTAAGTTGCCTGTTCCATATGTGCAATGGTAAGTTGCCTGTTCCATATGTGCAATGGTAAGATGCCTGTTCCATATGTGCAATGGTAAGTTGCCTGTTCCATATGTGCAATGGTAAGATGCCTGTTCCATATGTGCAATGGTAAGATGCCTGTTCCATATGTGCAATGGTAAGTTGCCTGTTCCATATGTGCAATGGTAAGATGCCTGTTCCATATGTGCAATGATAAGATGCCTGTTCCATATGTGCAATGGTAAGATGCCTGTTCCATATGTGCAATGGTGGCGTGGGCATCCCTGGCGGCTTTCAACACCGCTGTGGTGCTGCCCGCGGCAGTGGGGCGAGGGGTCTTCCGCCTTTCTGCCTCGCTCCTTCCTAGTGCTGCTGACGATGCTCCCTGCAATGGTAAGGCTTATGGTGTGCATGGTTCATGGTGGCGTGGGCATCCCTGGGCCCTGGCGGCTTTCAACACCGCTGTGGTGCTGCTACCCGCGGCCATGGGGCGAGGGTGTTCCGCCTCTCTGCCTCCCTGCTCCCCAATGCTGCCGACGACTCCCCTTGCAATGGTAAGACTTGTGGTGTGCATGGTTAGGCTTATGACGTGGGCATCCCTGGCTGTGGTGCTGCTGCCGACGACCGTGGGGCAAGGGGTATTCCGCCTCCCTGCTCCCCAGTGCTGCTGATGACTCCCCTTGCAATGGCGAGACTTGTGGTGTGCATGGTTAGGCTTATGACGTGGGCATCCCTGGCTGTGGTGCTGCTGCCCACGACCGTGGGGCAAGGGGTATTCCGCCTCCCTGCTCCCCAGTGCTGCTGATGACTCCCCTTGCAATGGCGAGACTTGTGGTGTGCATGGTTAGGCTTATGACGTGGGCATCCCTGGCTGTGGTGCTGCTGCCGACGACCGTGGGGCAAGGGGTATTCCGCCTCCCTGCTCCCCAGTGCTGCTGATGACTCCCCTTGCAATGGCGAGACTTGTGGTGTGCATGGTTAGGCTTATGACGTGGGCATCCCTGGCTGTGGTGCTGCTGCCCACGACCGTGGGGCAAGGGGTATTCCGCCTCCCTGCTCCCCAGTGCTGCTGATGACTCCCCTTGCAATGGCGAGACTTGTGGTGTGCATGGATCGTTTTGAGAGGGATGAAGGGGATAGGGACATGGGGGAATGGGAAATGAAGGAATGAGATATGTGGCATAGGGATATGTGGCATAGGGATATGTGGCATAGGGATATGTGGCATAGGGATATGTGGCATAGGGATATGTGGCATAGGGATATGTGGGATAGGGATATGTGGGATAGGGATATGTGGGATAGGGATATGTGGGATAGGGATATGTGGGATAGGGATACAGAGGATAGGAATATGTGCGATTGGGATATGCGGGATATTGATATGGGGGATAGAAATTGAGGGAATAGGGATATACGGGATAGGGATAGAGGGGATAAGGATATGGGGGATAGGGATATGGAGGATTGGGGTATAGGGGATAGGGATATGTGGGATAGGGATTGTAGGGATGGGGATATGGGGGATCAGCAGAATTCTCAAATTGCACCTTTTGAGAATTCTCAAAAATCACCTATGGTAAGACTTTTGGTGTCTATTCTTCACGTACTATGGGTGTCTCTGGCGCCATTCTTTCAACTCCTCTTTGATGCTGCTGCCCTCGGCGCTGCTGCCCACGGCTGTGGGAGCGGGCGGGGCTCTCCGCCTCTCTGCTTCCCCGCTCCCCAGTGCTGCTGACGATGCGTCCTGCAATGCTACTGTGCTGCAGTTACCACATGTCCATATATCCCTCTCTCTCATACGCCCCCCACCCCTCCAGATCTCTATTCCTTTGGCATCGGCGCCTACCTCATCTGGGGATCTATCGCAGCCATGCGTGCTGCTGCCTTGCGGTTACCACGTAACAACCTGCGAGCGTTACTGCTGCCTCTGGTGCACTGGACTGCTGTGGTACTTAAAGCAGCGCTGCTGCTGCTGCTCTGGGTGAGTGCACTTTCTCGATCCCTGTCGAATCAGCAAGCTCTTGCTATGGGTACACGTCAGTCGCCCCTCCCCCCCCCCGGTTACTGCTGCCTCTGGTATGTTGGTTGGACTGCTGGTGCGCTTAAAGCAGCGCTGCTGCTGCTGGAGTAGGCATGAACCTCACTGCTGGAGTGGTCAGCATGCCCATCCGAGTGCCCATGAACGAGTCTCCTGTGCTCAGTCTGAGCGCTCTCTCTTCCCTGCCTGCACCTTGCACCCCCCCCCCCCCCCCCCCCCCCCCCCCAGCTCCCATATTGGCTGGCCTGATGGTTGATCTAGCAGTCATCATGCCCATCCGGGTGCCCATCAACGAGTCTCCTGGTTTCCCCCCCTCCCTGTAACCCCCCAGAGCTGCAGTTGGTGGTTGCTCCCATCCTGGCAGGTCTGCTCGTCGATCTAGCGGTCATCATGCCCATCCGGGTGCCCATCAACGAGTCTCCTGGTGTCCCCCCCTCCCTGTAACCCCCCATTGCTGCAGTTGGTGGTTGCTCCCACCCTGGCAGGTCTGCTCGTCGATCTAGCGGTCATCATGCCCATCCGGGTGCCCGTTAACTAGTCTTCCCTGCTCTTCTTCCCCTGCCCCCCCCCCCTCCCTGTAACCACCCCTTTGCTGCAGTTGGTGGTGGCGCCTATCCTAGCAGGCCTGCTGGTCGATCTAGCAGTCATCATGCCCATCCGAGTGCCCATCAACGAGTCTCCCCTGGTCTCCCCCCCTCCTGTAACCCCCCTGTGCTGCAGTTGGTGGTGGCCCCCATCCTAGCAGGTCTGCTGGTCGATCTAGCGGTCATCATGCCCATCCGGGTGCCCATCAACGAGTCTCCCCTGCTCTCTCTCTACCACGACTGGGCGCTCGGACTCATCCTTCTCAAGCTGTGGGCCAGAATAGTGAGTCTTCCGCTTTCTCTCGCTGCTGATGGTCCTTTCTCTCTCTACCACGACTGGGCGCTCAACTCATCCTGCTCAAGCTGTGGGCCAGAATAGTGAGTCGTTGGGACTCTCCCTTTCGCATGAACTACCAACTCATCATCCCCTGCTCTCTCGCTCTCTACCACGACTGCGCCCTCGGCTTTTTTCTGCTCAAGCTGTGGGCCAAAATAGTGAGTCGTTGGGTCTCTCCCTTTCCTCATATGGTCTTTGCCTTGAGTAACAAAGTGGTTCTTACAGCGCACTAGCCAGTCGCCCTCTGCTCTCTGCTCTCTGCTCTCTGCTCTCTGCTCTCTGCACTCTGCTCTCTGCTCTCTGCCCTCTGCTCTCTGCTCTCTGCTCTCTGCTTTCTGCTCTCTGCTCTCTGCTCTCTGCTCTCTGCTCTCTGCTCTCTGCTCTCTGCTCTCTGCTCTCTGCTCTCTGCTCTCTGCTCTCTGCTCTCTGCGCTCTGCTCTCTGCGCTCTCTACCACGACTGCACGGCCGGAGTCATCATTCTGCTCGAGATTTGGGCCAGAATGGTGAGTCTTTCACTTACTCTTTCTGCTGATGGTCCTGGGTAGTGCACCCGCTTTGTGAGATAGCAGACCGACGGTTTGCGCAGTCTTGAAGCCCTTTTTCCACCCTGCATTTCCCCTCCCCCCCTACCCACAGGTGACAGCTCAGAACCATCTACATGCCAACCACGAGTGGCGCGCGTGCTTCGTTCGCCTGCAGCAAGACGGCCTGTGTAAACCCCCCTTCCCCACCCACCAACTCCCCCTTCCCCCCTGCTACCCACAGGTCATGGTACAGAACCACCTGTTAGCCAACCATGAGGGGTGCGCGCGCTTTGTGAGATAGCAGCAAGACGGCTTGTGTACCCTTCCCCCCCCCCAACATCACCTCCGACTCACACACACACACCACCGTCTATCCGCTACCCACTGATCACGGCTCAGAACCACCTGCTCGCCAATCAAGAGTGGCCGCACGCTTCGTAAGGCGGCAGCAAGATGGCTTATGCAACCACCCCCTCACATCCACCCCTCTATTCCCTACCCACAGGTGACAGCCCAGAACCACCTGCTAGCCAATCAAGAGTGGCGCGCACGCTTCGTTCGACTGCAGCAAGACGGCCTGCGAAACCTCAACGCCCGCCGCACCTTCCAGGAAATCATCTCTCCAGTCCTCCTCTTCCTCCTCACCGCGCTCACCGCTCCCTTCCTTACCGTCCGCACCATCCTCCCCCTCCTGCGCCTGCCCCCTGTGCTTGAGTCTGCTGCGTTTCGGTTTGCTTGGATCACTGCACTGGGGGTGGTGGGGACAGCGCGGGTGTGGCGGCGGGTGTGTGACTGGCTGGTGTCCCTGCACGACGCGATTCGGGACGATCGGTATCTTGTTGGTCGGCGCCTGCATAATTTCCAGCATCAGCGGTCTTCTGCTGCTGCTGCTGCTGCTGCTGCTGCTGCTGGATTGTAGTAATGGCTTTGTTTGACCCCGTCTCTCTTTGTACAAAATGGTCGTTATTGTTGTCCCGGTAAATGCATTCACACTCTACAGGGGCACTTCCAAAAGTCTAGTAGATGAATGAAACATCTTTGGGGTTTAAAACCACAGGCCAAAAATAGCTAAGGGGGGGCTTCAAGAGCGCCGCTCTTGAAAGTGGGCACACTTGAAAAAAACTGGAGTGCTAGTGCGACGCAGCCATAAGAGCGTGTTCCTACCAGCCTCTTCCCAAGCAGCCTCTTCCCAGACTCGCATGCTACAGTGTCGCAAATTTTGACGCGAAATGTTTCAGTGCGATTCTGCGAAGTGCGAAGTGAGATTCGGCTTCCTGAGATTCAGGGGCGTGTTTATAAACCTCTTTCCAGACGAGCATATTTTCAGACAAGCGCGAATCTGCACAGTAAATTTTCGACGCCAGCTGGTTTTATGTGGTTGAGAGCGATGAAACGCAAATATGAAATGGGAGTATTCCGAAAAGTGGTCCTGGGAACACGCTCTCGAAGGTTGGGCGTGAGTCTGGGAAGAGGTTGCCTGGGAAGAGGCTCTTAGGAACACGCTCTAAGAAGTTTGGGGCAGCCTGCGACGAGGCGGCGACGGCGAAGCCAAGCGCGACAGACCAAATCTCCCGCCAAAATTGCGAGACAAGAATGTCATAAACTAGAATCTAGGTAGGAGGGAAGCCATGGAATGACGCGAGGTTTTAGGCTAGGAGAAAGTTACGAGAGAGAAGAGACATGATTAGGAAGAGAGAGGGATACAGGAAGAGGTTGTACCCTCTACAATAGGTTTCAGTAACACCTACCAAGCCTACAATTATATATAACCTATATAATTTAACACACCCCCTAGGCTTGGTAGTCTCAAGCCCACCCAACACCTCCAAGCCCGTGCACCCCCCAGGTCCTGCAGCAGGAGGGGCTGCTACCCCTCGTGCGAGGTGGTGACACCTCCGGCTGGTGGCGGCAACGGCGTCAGCGGCGGCGGTGGCGGCGGTGGCGGCGGCAGCGTCTACGGCGGCGGCGGCGACATCGACGGCGGTGGCGACGGCGAAACTCTCCGCGCCTGGTGGCATGGCACGGCCCGGCGACGGCTGGGAAGAGACTCAGCATCTGCGGCTGGAACTAGGGGTGGTGCAGGGGAGGTGGCGTGGCGTCAGCAAGGCGCCGTGGCTGACACAGCACTGGCTGATGTGCAGGCGAGCCGGCGGCGCCTAAAACGTTGCGCGGCCTGCTGCTGCCAGACGACGCCGCCACAGCAGCATGACGACGCCGCCACAATGCGGCGTCGATGCCGCGGTGGCACGACGACGCTGCCACGGCAGCACGACGATGTTGCCACGGCGTGGCGTCGACGCTACGGCAGCGCGTCGGGGCTGCGACGGCAGCACGACGAAGCCGCCATGGCAGCTCGACATGGCCGCCACGGCGGCACGGAAGTGACGAGAGAAGGGCGAGTACGCGGCGGAAGCGTGGGGAGCAGGCCCGGGAGGGGCAACCTGCTCTGGTACCATGTCAGAAACTAGAATCTAGGTAGGAGGGAAGCCATGGAATGGCGCGAGGTTTTAGGCTAGGAGAAAGTTACGAGAGAGAAGAGACATGATTAGGAAGAGAGAGGGATACAAGGAGGGGGTTGTACCCTCTACAGTAGGTTTCAGTAACACCTACCAAGCCTACAATTATATATAACCTATATAATTTAACAAGGAATTCCATTGTAGTCGGGGCGTGTTTCGGTCAGATCGGGTCCATGGCCAAGTTACGCGAATGGGCAAAATTCTGACGAAGCATGCAAAGAGAGGGGACTGGCTGTGTCAATATGCGTGAAGTGAGAGCGGGGCTCCGATCAGGTTAGTAAGGAATTACGATTCCTTACTGGGGCTCGCCACAGCGAGTACACGTGAACAGCTCGCATCTGCAGGCTCGACCCTATAGTCACGCGCCAAACCAGCACCCGCTGACCTATTCCTTCGAAGAGTGGGCAACGTTTCCGCCGTGTTTTTCGAGTACGTTCGTTAGAGCTTTCGTAATTTTCAGGTGTTTTGACGGAGTCTTCGAATTGGCTTCCAAAAAAAGCGAAGGCTTTGTCACGCGGAGACAAGTGCACGGGAGTCCTCAGGAGAGTACGCGGCTGGGAATTGGTCGTCAGGAGTGAGCAGGGTAGCGAAATTGGCGGGACGTATGTTGATGTACGTCTGGCACGCCATGCAGTGGTAGGGCGAACTGTAGCTGCGTCGCATATAGTACCGGCGTTTCCGGCAGGCTAGTTGGAGGCGATGGACGGGACTTCAAAACCGTTTCGACAATGGGCGGATCCGATAATTTCGGAACGACACGATCGCACGAGGACGTGTGGGTGTGCAGTTGTGTGAGAGCATCTGGGATTAACGACCTCGGCGCTATTCACCACGACGGCCTTCTGGAGGTGATGATGCTGTGCTGGAGTGAGTGTACTCAGCGAGGGCGACTTCTCGCATGGGGAGGCGTTTTTTGTGGACCAACGATTCATACCCCCATGATCAACGGAAACGGAGGCCACCACCCTTGGGTGCGTATTAAGTGTTTTTCCACCGGTCGCGGAGAGCATTAACTGCCAGGAGTTGAAGTAGTGGGAGAAGAACAACGGGAATACTGGAGCAGTTAAGGGTTAGCGGCGTTCGGGCTACTGCTCTCTCAGCTACATCACCCGGAAATCACCATCCCCACCAGCTAGCAGTGCTGACTTATTAATCGACAGCTTCTGGCTGAATAAAGGGGTGAACCTGCGAACTACACAGTGCTGATGGAGTGTCCCTAAAATTTTCGGAGTTACTGTTGCAGCGGAGCTGAGGGTTTTCACCTGGTGCAGCAGAAAGAGGTTCCGACTTTTGCGGGTGTAGTTTGACGAGTTTCCGACGGAGGAGGGAGCTGTCTAACAGTCAGTAGGCGAGCTCGTTAAAGCTCCTCTGACTAGAAGCGTGCGCACTCCTATTTCTGTGGATTCTCGTAGTTAGTTAAGCAGCAGCGAAGCAGATTTGGGTAACCCGCAGCAGATGCGACATGGGTGAATGTCTGCACGGCCAGCTGGCAGGGGTACCAGGGTATTTTGAAGAAATTTGGGTAACAGATGGGCGGAGATCGACGGCGTATGATGCGCATTGACCTTGATCGACGGCCAAAACCTCATGCCAAGGCGGTGGAATCCGGTGTTCCCTAATATAGAGGGTTCAGATCATGCATACAGCTGGTGGAGAAACCGTAGGGGCGCTGCTAAAGGACGCCGTGACGCCCGAGTGTTCTTACGAGTAGCTGTAAAGCAGTGTTGCAGTCTTGGTTAAGTATCGATGGAGTTATGACATTTTCGTTTGTGTTGTTTATGGACTTACAGCTAGAGCAGTACCCCCTATCATGGGGGGTACGAGCGACATCGACCGAATTTTGCGGAGTCTTCAAGGTACATGGAGCGGAGGGAGAGCAGTAGCTGTTTCGTCTCTTCCCGAATATTTCGGCGTGTACGAACAAAGAAGCTGATGCAGCTAGTGTCAGTCAACCCTGGGTTTCGTTCGAGGTTTTCTATCGGAGTTGTTAATTACAGGTTACAGGTCATCGCCATCGTCGTCTTCCTCTCGTCACTAATCGCTACCACCACAATCGTCAATTTGCCTGATTCGCCCGACAATGTGAACATGACCCCGCTGCATCATCGCCACCAATGAGGAGCAGTACCGAGATGAAAAGATTTTGCAGCAGTACTGTTGGAGCTGTGTTGGGACCTGCTCGCAAGTAGTGTTCCTACTCGTACTGAATTTTCAGTTCGTATGGGAGTCTTCCGGAGCAGCTCCTTCTCATTTTCAAGATCCTTGGAGCAGTTTCTCATGAGGAATAATTATTACTTTGGAGCATATTTGGGAGTTCTTGCGGTTGGCGTTTTGCAGAGGCATCTTCGAAGCTGAGTATGAGACTCTTAAGCAGCAGCGTGGGATTCTTTCGACTACCCTAGAGCATTGGGTTTCCCGGAGTTTTACCTGGGAACTTGGGAGCTGTTTCTTCTTGGAGGGGGGGAGAAGTGCAACTGTACTGCAATTTTTCGTCTGACCCTTCCGGCGTGTTCCATCATCCACTTTCGACCGACATTCATTACCGTTACGCTTCCGCGCCTGCGCTCGTCACTTCGTTGATGGAGTTCGCTGACTTTCGTGGGACACAGACACGTGCTCTCGCATGTGACACGAACGACCTGGCGTGTTGATGAATGACTCTTTGTCATCCGACTACCATGTCATTCGGCAGTCATCATGATCATACTGCAACGCGTCACCATAACCCCACCCACGCGACAGTTAACTATTCAACAGCATCTGTCATCTTCATCATTTCGTCACTTGGGAGTTTTCGCCATTGCCCGTTCGGTCAGCTGGAGAAGTTGGTAATTTTCAACGACTCATATCAATTACGATCGCTGCGACATGCCTCAGCAATTGGATGGAGTTTTTACCTCATGAAGTCTCGTCATCATTGCGCTCATCAAGATTTGACAATCAGGATCGACCACGATCGTTTCAACGCTTTCTGACCATCGATTTCAGTTCGACCTGAAGACCTGGTCAAGCCGGCGTAAACATTACGCTCGTCACAGGGCTGAAGACTTACAATCACATCGGGGACTACTTTAATGACGGTTCGACCTCGATAAAGGGAGTGCCTTCCTTTAGAAGGTGGGAGAGTGAAAGGAATTATGATTCCTTACTGGGGCTCGCCACAGCGAGTACACGTGAACAGTTCGCGTCCGCAGGCTCGGCCCTCCAGTCACACGCCAAACCAGCACCCACCGACCTATTTGGCCCCAACCTCTTCCCAACCTCTTTCCCCCTCTACCCGCCATCCTTTTCCCCTCTCCCCGCCATCCTTTCCCCCTCTCCCCGCCATCCTTACCCCCTCTCACCGCCATCCTTTCCCCCTCTCCTCGCCATCCTTTCCCCCTCTCCCCGCCATCCTTTCCCCCTCTCCTCGCCATCCTTTCCCCCTCTCCCTGCCATCCTTTCCCCCTCTCTTCGCCATCCTTTCCCCCTCTCCTCGCCATCCTTTCCCCCTCTCCCCGCCATCCTTTCCCCCAC